TGGCCCTTACTAACCTGACCTCTTGGAAGTACCCATCAGACCCTGCATTTGTGAATTAGTCAAATGGAGATAATAATGTCTGCCTCAGACCGCCCCCCCCCCACCCCGCCACAAAGCCACAAAGCTACCATACAGGTTGTGAGAATTAAACAAGATGGAAAGCAGTTAGCACAGAGCCTGGCGTGTGGTCAGCACACAAGAATGTCGGTGCCACTGTTACCTGTGTCTCCAGGTCAAACCTGTCTCTGGTTTCACATCTGCACCTGCCCCGACATCTGCCCCGGTCTGCCCTCCTGTGCCGCATGCTTGGCATGACTCAAACTAAACACTTCACGTCCCTTGCAAACCTCCCTGTGGTCCTTGTCCCGTGAGGGACCACCTGGCCAACGAGCCCAGCCGGGACATCTGCAGGGCCACACGCCAGACGTCGCCTCACTTGTCCAGGTTTTGGCCACATATTGACAGGGTTCTTACAACACCCCTTTCAACAGCTCTCCCGTCTGGTGTGCCAGCACCCTCGTGCCCACCATATCACTGCTACAGGCACTTTCTGAATCACAAGCCCGCACTGCCGCTCCCACCGCCCCCCCAGGTGATACTGACTCGCCTGAGCTTGGCCAGAGGGCCTTGGGCTGCCACCTCTCCCTCATGCCGGGTGCATACTCACCTCTCTCCAGCTGGACCGCAGCTGGCCCACCACCTCTGCGGGGTGTCTGGCCTGCCTCACGCCCTGCCGCCTTCTAGTGACCTTGCTCCTCCCTCGGTTCCCATCCCACATCACCTCCTCCACGTCCCGCCCACCCCAGCCCCTGACCATTGTCAGAGGTTCCTAGACTTGGGGATTTCACAGGACTGTAACATTTTGAGAAGTATTATGGGAACCAGATAAGGTCACGGACTTTAATTTTGCTAAAGCCATAAAAATGAAACAGCTAAGTTGAAAATAGCTACCGCCACGTGCTGTGACCATTATTTTACAAAAGAGTGGCACAGGCTCTCCTTCATGAACAGGGCAGAAGCTCAGGACGACAGGCCCCCACACATGGGGTTCGTGCTCACTGTAGGCTGTGTTGTTCGCCTTTCACCTCAGACCCTTAGACCTCTCACAGCCCCTGCTGGGTGGAGCTCCACCTGGCTGAGGTGATTTCCTTCTCCTCAGTGAAGTGGTTTATTTATTTGGTTTTTTTTTTTTTTGATTCACGAAGGGAGGAGCAGTGATTAACTGGTTGGTGGTTTACAGACTGTTGGAGGAAGGTGTGAAGTTGGGTGAGGGAGGAGGTGCTGGGTGGAGGCTGCTGCTGTCCTCAGCCTGTGGGCCCCCTACTCCCCCCTTCCTGTGAGTGTCTGACTCTGTGGCTGTCCCTGTGTCCTTGTTCCCTCATGTCTGCCACCCTATGGCCTCCCCTTCTTTCTTTTCCCTCTTTCTAATCTCAGCCCATTCCTACTTTCCCTTTATACGCCATCCCTTAGTTTCAGTTAGTAGCTTAGATCTTAATTGGTCATGACATACAAATTAGAAATATTTTGCTAGAAAAAAATGTTTTATGTTCTCTGTCCACCTCCCCTGCAGTCTTATTGAGATGTAATTGACATATAGTATTAAGTTCAACGTACAGCATAATGACTCATAATTTGTATATATTGTGAAATGACCACACCAGACCTGGTTAACATCCATCACCTCACATACTTACAATTTTTGCCTTGTGCACATACTTATAATTTTTTCCTTGTGCTAAGAACCTTTAAGATCTACTCACAGTGTATACAATACATGATTGTATTGTATACAAAACAGTATTATTAAGTATAGTCACCACGCTGTACTTACACCCCCAGGACTTCTGTTCTCTGTTTTTAATTGTTGGGTCAGTTTTTAAGCAAATAACATTGTGCACCAAGTCAGAGCTAGGTGCTCTCAGCACGTGATCTCAGGCCATCTGTTTGGGAAGGAGCTGTCCTTCTTGTTTAGAAATGAAGAAACAGGCCTCCCTGGTGGCGCAGGGATTACAGACAGCGCTATCAAGCTATCGCCAGCCACTGCAGCACGAGTTCGATCCCTGGCCGGCCAGCGAGCTAACCCACATGGCACAGCAGACCTGCCTTGCCTGCTGCTCCCCTCAGTAGATCTGCCTGTTCTGCTCCTCACTCTGTCTCTGCTGAATCCTCTCACTTCCCCCATTCCCCTCGCACCTCTGGCTTACACCCCAGTTCTTGTATGCATAAGTAAGTAAGTCTTTAAAAAAAAATAGAAATGAAGAAACAAAGTCTGAAAGAGGTTAAGTGTCTTTGCCAAGGTTACACATCTGGTGTGAAGGCCTCTGTCATCTTACATTGGATTTCTTTATTATAATCCCCCAGCAAGCAAACTGAAACCAATTCTCAAATTAAGGGACATAAGTTTCTTGTTTTAAAACTCAGGTGTGGGAAAAAAACCTCAACTTGTATGGTCCTCTGTCAATCTCATTGGGGCATTGTCATTCATTCATTCATTTTGTTATGAATATAAAAGTACACCTTTCAATCTTGGAAATATTAATATGATGAAAACTACCACTGTTATGTTCCTAATAACCTTTTTTCCTAAGTGAGTCCCTATAAGTGAAATTTTATTAGCGACATAGTTTTTCAGCAAGATGCCAGGCCTGTACTAAGTACCACTCTTACAAAGATGAAGAAGATATAGTTCCTGAATTTGAGAAGAGTTGAGTGGAGATGATTTTTAAAATAAAGGTGGGGAAAGTTTAATTCTTGAAGTCAGAAATTTTTGCCACTATTTCTTACAAAAGTTTGGGCAAATTATTTAACCTCCCTGTGCCTCAGTTGCCCCATCTGTAGAGTGGGGGATAACAGGACCTATCTCACGTATTGTGAGGATTAAATGAGTCAATTCAGATAAAGTGGGTGGACTTGTCCCTGGCACGTAATCAGTGCTCAGTAAATATTGGGTATTATTATTACTACCACTGTCACAACCTGGCACACGGGGACACAGGGGGCACATGGGACATGGGGATCATGGGACACAGGGGGCATGGGGAGGATACAGAGGGCACAAGAGGATAGAGGGGACATGGGGGGCAGTGAATGATGGTTCCTTCCCTTCTTTTACCCAACATGCTAGCTGAAGTGAGGCAACAGGAAATATAATATGCTTGTGGAGAAATAGAAAATGCTTTTGTTTAAACAGAAAAAAGTTATGCTCCCTGGTGTTGATGAAGCTCCACAGCCATCTGAGCCTCAGTGTCTTTGTAAAATTGGGCTAATAGTTCCTGCCTCCAGCAATGCCGAGGAAGGAGTGAGCCACGACACAGGCCAACCAGGAGCTGGCTCTGGAATAGTGCTGATATTTTATTAGCATGCTATTAGTGTTATTAATCTAACTCATTCCCCCCGAGACCCAGTTTCTTCATCTGTTAAATTATTGATAACAATGCAAACGTTGTTCCTCTGCCTTCCATCTTAGGAACCCCCAGGATTATCCAAGGAGCTTTATAAAAATCTTGTGATGTATGACTTAATTTTATTCTATTAGAAAAACTCATATTCATTCTGGTAACATTCTGGGTTATTTGAGATGTTACCAAAATAAAATTCCCACTTTCTGCTGAGAAATCTGAGTCAACAAAAGTTAAATGTCCCTCTCTAGACACATATCATGATGGGGGTCGGAGCTGAGGGTAGAAGCCATATAGATCTCCCATTCTTTCTGGAAAAAACCTCTCTGGGGTTGGGTAGCCTTTAGAAAACCCCAAAGTCTGGGAACCATCCCTAGGTTCTGGGACTGTAGGCCTTGGAGGGGCCTAAAGGGCCATAGTGACACTGAGCTGGGTTTGGGGACTGCCAGACTGAGGGCCCATGCATGGTCAGCCGTGCTTTCTAGTCATTGCTGCCCCAGCTCCTGCTTTTAACCTTCGTTCTAGTGCCCCGTCCCTTCTGTTCGTCTGTAGGTCACCCCCAGCTGTGAGTCTCACTGTTCTCTGCTAGGCTAGGGACACAAAGGGTTAAGAGACTGTACCCCTCCCTGGAATCCTAGGTTCAATTTGGGGCTAACTTGCTGTCTAACCTCAGACAAATTGCTTTGTCTCTGGGCCTCTTTGCACAATAGGAGGATGAGCTTTATCTTTTGGCCCTCCAGTGCTGCTAGTGCGTGGTTTTCTCCCCTTCTGGGCTGGCATATTCCTACTGGAAATTCACTCAGGAGCAGAAGAGCGTCACCCTCTTCTTTACCCACTTGTTAGTCCATATTCTACTCCTGGCTCAGGGAGGCTCCACATCTTTGTGTAAGGCATTTCTGTTGTGTTTGTAACTTCTTGATGGAAAAAAAGATGAACTAAAAAAAAAAATTTTTTAAATCCCGAGCATTCCACCCATTGCTTGTGATGGGTCAGCTCCTGGTCCCTTGGGCCCATGTTTGCTGCTGAGCCTAGCCTTGGCCTCAGCCTCGGCCTCCTGCTGCTTTGGGGGTTTCTGCAGAGAAACACTGTTCCCGTGGAAGGGAAGCGCCCTTGTGAGGTTGCCTGGTCCACGCCCTTTCTCGGACAAAGTGTACCCAGCCTGCCCAGGCGTATGAGAATTTTTTGTTTATGTAAAATACATTTTATTACAAAAGGTACATAAAAGGAAATAGAAATTTTAATATCTGTTGGTATGTATTCTTCCATTTTTTTCTTGCTGTATGTGTATGGTATATAATATACCATAAGTAATGAGAGAAATATATTTTTCTAGAAACTTTGGCTCATGCTATATGACATCCTTACATATTTCATAAAATATTATATAATACCCTCAGCATTTTTCTAAAACATTTTTAAGGCTATTTACAACATAAGACTAGATCATAATTTATAAAATTAGTCCTTAAGGAGGGGGGATTTGATTATTTTCAACATTATACTTTTCTAAAAAACATTGTTCTAAGCTTTACTCTGCTCTGGAATAAGGTGGGCTTTCCTGGCCCATGACTCATTAATAATGTCCCTTTTCTCTCCCCACAGAACCCAGGCCTTCTCAAACTGAGACGGAGTTTGGCCCCTCCACGCAGGTGAGTGAGCTCCTGTTCTTGTAAAAGGTCAGGGCTGCTGAAGCCACCGGCTAGGACTGAGGACTGCACCAGGCAGAATTTGGCTCAAACCTCGGCTCTGCCACTTACTATTAGTGTGTTGTGGGCAAGTTACCTGTCTTTTCAAGTCTCCGTGAAACGGGGAAATAGCAGTTAGAGCCGCTGGGCTGGCCTCTGGAACTGCTCTGTCTTGAGTGACTGTTGTTTCTTCATCTCTGAGCTTTCGGGACCCTGTTCATGGCTTAGCGCACACCTCAGATTCAGTTCATCCATGCCCTTTCCCTGGGCACTGCCGGCGTCGTAATTTTCTGGAAAGAGGATTACCTCTGAAGCTGCTTAACAAATCCTTGAGTAATCCAATTTCTCATGCAACTACAGTGCCTCCCATGGCCCTTAATTCCCTAAATGCTAGGCTGGGAGGTTCAGCCACCCTGGAGCTGGGCAGCACAGGGAAGGAGTGCAGAGTCCTGCCTCTAAACAATGTTCCATGGAGACTGTCGGGCACTGGAAGCCGCTCCAGGGTGAAGCCCATGCCTGTGGGCCCGAGAGCTCCCGGGACAGGGTGTGAGGAACTGACACTGACTGAAGATTGCCGAGCCCTGCCAGGCACTGAGTCTTGCTCTTGCTATCTCACTTGCTCCTCAAAGTAACTGAGATTCAGAGTGCCAGGGTGGTTGTGCCTGCAGAGGAAGAAAACTGACGCCCGCTTGAGTTAGGAAACCTGCCCATGGTCACATAGCTAGTAAGAGGTGGGTCCAGGATTCAAGTCTGGACTTTCCCCAGCAAGTGATGGTACCTCCACCTGGCACCAAACCTGTAGGACAACCACCAGTCCAGCGCATCTGCTGAACATCTCCTCTGGAAGGTGTTGAGCCCTTAAGCTTTTGATGGAGAGGCAGATGGGAGAAATTCCCACCTAAGCAGGCAAGGGGTAGATAACAAATAACACAAATAATAGAGCAAAATTTGAGAGTGCTGGGTCAAAAATAGAGAGGCCCATTAGATGGAGAAAGAGGGGATTGGATGGAGCAGGGAGGGGTTGGAAGGGTGGGGGGTACCTGAGCTGGGTCCTGGGTGATGGTGGAATCCAAAGAAATGGATTATGGGAAGGAATGTCTCTTTCAGGTACCGACTACTTCTGCAGACAATGAAGATTCTCTTTCTATGGATTCTGTAAATGCAACAAGCCTCCCAGGTAAGGGCTGCATATTGTGGTATCCCTGTGGTCCAAGGGGAACAGAAGACTTGTCTGCAGAAAGTCTTTCCTTATTTGGAAATGTTGACGGAGGGTCAGTCTAGTAATGGAAAAGATCAATGTCAGGAATATTCTTTTATTACTTTATATGTCCAAATTTGATAGTGTCGACTAAGAGAGTGAGGGGACCAGAAAAGTGGAATATCTCACAATTGGCCCACAGTACAAATGAATGGGCATGAATCCACCCAGGTCAAGGTAGATTTCAAAGCTTCTGATTTCTCATAGCTGTAAGATGTGAAAACTGAACATTTGCATCAAGAAAGATCACAGCTCCTTTGTTTTCCTATATGTGTGGGGTTCATGGAGTCTAGACTCCAGAAGTTCTGTCATTGAGCAGCCCTATGTGACTGCTCTTGGGCTCTCTGAGGAGGTGCCTCATTACCCTGACCTGGGTGGATTCATGCCCATAGCTGACGCTGGGTCCCCAGGCTCCACCACCTTGGTTGTAAAGTCTTCTTGCCTCAGGGTAGGGGGTGGGGGCCCTGGACATCAGACATTCTTCCTTTTCCTCCCTCGTCTATTCCTCCCACCATGTCTGGTCCCTCAACAGGTTCTGTCAGTTGTACCTGAGACATTTCCAGAAGCTGACCTCTTCTCACCACCACCACTTCTAACACTGGTCCAGTTCCTGCTAGTCCAATTGGACCAGGAGAACCGGTCCAGTTCTCACCCTTTGTGACTTTAGGAACTGCCTGCTGATCCACAGGCTTTTACTTTTACCCCTAACAGACTCTTAGTTACTCTAGAACACAATTCAGGCTCTCCCTGGATCAACACTGTGTCTCTCAGAAAAAAAACCAAAGTCCTAACAAAGCCCCTAGTCTTTGTGGGGTCACGTCCTCCTTTCTTCAGAACTTGCACTATCTGTCGCCTCCTCCGTCTCCCTCTTCACTCTGCTGCCTTGCCATGCTTGCTCGTCCTTGGAGCACATGTTCTACCTCAGAGCCTTTGCACTTGCCACTTGTTCTGCCTGGATGCTCTCCCCTTGACCTCCTCGTGGTCAGCTCCTTCATACATCTAGGTCTCTGCTGAAATGCCCTTCTCAGGGAGGCTTTTCCTAACCACCCCATCAGACAGAGCCCCCCAACCCTGCCACTCTCTTCTTCCTGTGCTTTGTCATCATTGCAGCTGCCATCAGTGAGGCCCCCAAACCTTCTGTGCCTTGTGGGGCAGGCTGAATGCCACTAAAAAGCCACTCTGAAAGTGAGTGGGTGCCTGTGGCTGGCCGCAGTTGCTCAGATGCTCTGAGCTTGAGTGTTTCTTGTCAAGTGGTGGATTCCTGGGGTCTGTCAGATGATGCTGGGGATTACTCTTCTAGAGTCGCCTTTGGCCAGATAACTGGCAAGCTTGTCAAGTGGCCCGCTGGTTAACAGAGATGTTTCCTCCACCAGGCGTAAGGTTCCTTTGAGGGTTGTGACAGTACCTGCTAAGTGGTTTTCTTCTCTTCCTTCTGCTCCCTTCCCTCTCCTCCTTCATTTTCCCTAGTGAAAGATTCTTCTTCCATAACACTGCCCACATTCCTGGTGGCTGGAGGAAGCCTGGCCTTCGGAGCGCTCCTCTGCATCGGCATCGTCCTGAGGTGAGATGGGCCCCTGGGGGTGGCCCTGTGGTCTTTGTTTCCCTCCTTCCCTCCCTCCCTCCCTCCCTCCCTCCCTCTCTCCCTCTCTCCCTTCTCTCCTTCCTTCTCTCTCTCTCTTTTTCTCTTTCTCTCTCTCTTTCTTTTCTTTTCTTTTTTTAAAAAAGATGTATTTATTTATGCATTCAAGAGCTGGGGTACCGGCCAGAGGTGTGGAGGGTGAGAGGATTCACCAGAGACAGAGTGGGGAGAAGAGCAGGCGGATCTACTGAAATACACTGCTGAGGGGAGCAGTGGGAGAGTCAGGAGAGGTCTGCTGTGCCATGTGGGTAGCTCCCTGGCCAGGGATCAAACTCGTGCTGCAGTGGCTGTGGATAGCTTCATAGGTTGTGTCTTAACCCCTTGTGCCACCAGAAGCCCCCTCTTTCTTATCTAGTGGCCTTGTCCTGCTAGGGTGATGGCAGTGGACCAGAGAGCCATGAATGCTTCAAGACATCTTTCAGAGGTAGAATTGACAAGTTTTGTGACCGATTAATGAAGGGAAGGAAGAGACAGGAGGTGTCACGTCTAACCCTCAAGCTTCTGGCTTCAGCAATCTGGCAAAGGCCAAATGGCCCTGGTGTCATGCTCTAATATTGGAAACACTGGAGGAAGAACAACTGAGTGAAAAAGGTGATTCCATTTTGGGTGCACTAAGTTCGAGGTGCCTGTGAGAACTCCAGGGGGACAGAATGGTAGGCAGTTCAGGATATTACAGCAGGTAGAAGGCAGTGGAGAGCTGGGAGAGGCTGGGGATGAGGCTGGTGGCAGCACCTATGGAATTCCAACTCTGAAAAGTTGTGTGGGGTGGGAGGGCCCGAGAAAGGGGCTGAGAGGAAGTGTCCTAAGAGGCAGAAAGAGGGAAGCCTGCTTGTGAAATCCACGGGGACAGAGTGTGTGAGATGTGAAGCAACACCTCAGCTCTGGGGTTGCAAGAGAAACATGACCTATCCTGTCGTCTGAGAGCCACAGACAAAAAGGACTAAGGTACCATGTAAGAAGCACCAGAGCACAGGGACCTGACCAGACATCCTTGCAAATATTGCATGTCTGAAAACAAGCATACCTCCTGGGCGCCTCTGAATGCCCGGTCCTAGTGCCCTCCTGTCATGGCTAGGAAACTCGCATGCTGAATTCATGCCCAGGCCACGCAGGCCCATGCCCCTTTCATCCCAATCGCTTTTTCCATTCTGTTTTTTTTTTTTTTTTATGGTTACTTTGAATAATTTTTATAACATTTAACTATATATATATATATATTTTTAATTTTTATATTCCCCATACAATTGCAACCCCCTGATTTTGACTCCATTCCTCCTCGCCCCCCCCACCCCAGTGTGTCTCTGGTTCATAGTTGTTTGTTGATTTTGATTTTTACTTTCTTATAGTTATTCATTTTCCTGGTCCCTTATTTAAGTTTTCTAGATTCCTGCTATGAGGGAGACCATCCGGTATTTTTCTTCTTCTTTCTGGCTTATTTCACTGAGCATGATCCCTTCCAGCGCCATCCATGTTGCTGCAAATTGCATGTGTTTATCTTTTTTGAATGCTGAGTAATATTCCATGGTGTATATGTACCACATCTTCTTGATCCAGTCATCTATTTTTGGGCATTTGGGTTGTTTCCAAAGCTTAGCTATTGTAAACAGTGCTGCTATCAACATAGGGGTGCAGGTGCCCTTTGGAATTAATGTTTCTGTGTCCTTTCTGTCGTTGTTTTTTGGTCACTCATTCAAAAGTTTGCAGATAAATCAGCTGACAGAGCTCCCAATTAATGAAGAGCAAAGAAAACTTCAAAACTTATAATCCAATGACTTTACTGTAGGAATTGGCACTAAAAAGCAGTTTTGCATCTGCTGAAGGTGTGAAAGAAGTCAGGCTGGGTCCACCCTTGGACAATGGCCCATTATCGTGATAATACAATCTGAGTGGGGGAGAAACTTCACTCCCACTTTTCTTTCTCTTCATGTGTAATTTTCAAGCGCCTCCAGTTGGCCATTGTGAGTGGTAGTGTTGAGGGTGTTGGGGAAAGAGGGGTAAAGATCTCGTTATTATTTATTTATTTATTTATTTTCCGGAGAGGTCCCTTCTCCGAGGGCATGGGGCAGGCGCACAGCCCCAAGGCCAACACGGACTTTGGGGGGGCCCCGCCCGACAGCCATGGGACTGGTGGTGCCAGGATGGTGGGGCAGGCGTCTGGGGCCTGGGGGGGAGAGACTGTGTTCTCAGGCTCCCCGCGGGCCTTTAAATATTCCTGCCTGAATGTACCAGCTACCTGGACAGAGGGGAGTGTGGACGACAGACAGACGAGGCGGGGCAGCCACAAGTCTCATTGGCCTCATACACTGTAACCCGGTCTACAGCCACCTGTGGGGTCCTGGGACCTTGAGGCTGCCTTTCTAGTCAGGTGATGAGCAACACCAGACAAGGTGTCGCCAAGACCGCACTGAAAGCTGAAGGCAAGGCAGGCCCTGCCTGCCTTTGGGTCAATAGGGGCCATAATAGCTTTCAGGCCCCTAGCTACTGCTTTCTAAGGGCTGCCTTGCCTCACCTTCAGTGTTCTAGCCTACATCAATTGGACGTCAACAGGCCTTTCTCATAACCTATCTCTTTTCCCCATGACCCCCTGATGACACGGGGTGGGGAGGGCCACCAATCCCCCAGGCTCTGGAGTCTGCTTCTCCCAGGCCTTTGGCCATGGAGTGCGATGGCCTTGAGTCAGAGACGGGGTGGGCTGCAGAGAACCCTGGGAGAGAGCACAGCTGTATCTGGAGGGGGCTTCCCACCACTCGCCTGCTTCTTGGTGAGCCCAGTGGATCTTCACAGTGACCCTGAACTAGCTTGACTGCCAAATTGATCTGCATTGCAAGATTAGCTAGATGACAGCTCAAGCTGTGCTCAGGGTTGTTTTCACTTTGATTTTGCAATCAAGTTGTGAGCAAGATGTCCAAAAGGCATCAGACGATAAGGTTCCTAACAAGTGCAGGAGCAAGAACTCACTATCTTTATGTCTTTGGGTCAGTAGGGACCATATTAGCATTCAGGCCTCTAGCTACTAACTTCTAAGGGATGCCTTGCCTCACCTTCTGTGTTCTAGTCTACATCAATAAGATTTCAACAGGCCTTTCTCATAACCCCCCACAGATCATATAGACTAAATACCATGATTTCCACTTATCAGATGAGGAAATTAAAGCTGAATGGGATGAAATGATTACAGTTTGTAACCTTAAAGCTCATGCTCTTTAGTCAAATTTAGAATGTCACAAATGAGCAAACAACCTCTAGAGGTGAGATGACTTGCCTAAGGACCTGCAACTTGTTAATAGCAGAGCAAGGAGTAGAACCCATGTCCTGAGAAGCCCCACCCACTATGCTGGCCTACTGTCAGCTGAGGTGGGCCTGTCGGTCCTGTCAGTCCACCATTGGCCAATGGCACCACTAACAAGCAGTGCCACCTCGGTGTTCTGTTAACCACGAACAGAGATGCATTAGGTAGGGAGCTGGCCAGTGTGTTCATCACAGACCTAGTTAGCTACGGAGTGGGTAGAACGTGGACAATAACTGGTTGCTAAACAACCAGAGTCCCGGAAGCACTGACAGGGCAAGCGCCTTGTGCTGAGAGCCTATTAGTAATTTATTTCCTAGCCTAGTGAGCCTTCATAATCGCCTGTATTGGGCAAATTTACTTGAAAAGAAGCCAGTTACTCCAAGTGATGAAAAATCCCTTTACTCCCTAAGTCCCTCATGACAAGGCTGAACCAAAATGGGTTGGGATGGCACTTGACAACAGGCAGGATGTGAGAGGCAGTTTGTAATAAATCTGGCCAGTCCATGATAGCATATTTTTCTCTTTAATACCTTTATTTTGTGTCTCAAACCAAGCATAGTATTCTCCTAAACATTTTCCTCGTAGTATCAGAGATCATTTTAAAAATGTAAATGTGCCATTGAAAAAGTGTGTCTTCTTCTTAAGTGCATGTCATAACTCACAGGGAGTCAATTCTACCTGTCTGCCACCATGGCCCTCCTGTTCTTTCTATTTTATGCCATTGGGCACTGGGAAAATAAGATTCTCAGAGCAGAGAAGTACTGCTCTGTAGAAATATTGCAGGTCTTGTCTCATTCCAGCATTTTAGTAACCGCAGACTCTGCCACCTCCATGGTGTCCTGGGCCACAACAGTAGCTGGGGCAGTGGGTGGCCTCTGTGGTTTTGGTGTTGGTGCTGGGGCACTACCTTTCACTACATCTTGGCTTCCACATCTTTTTTTTTAAGAGTGAGGGTTATTATGAATGTTTTTTTAGCTGCATTTTCTTTCTTTCTTTTTAAAGGTTTATTTATTTATACACACAAAACTGGGGTGCAGGCCAGAAGTGTGAAGGGTGAGAGGATTCACCAGAGACAGAGGTGGGGAACAGAACAGGCAGATCTACTGAATACACTGCTGAGGGGAGCAGCGGGCAAGACAGGAAAGGTCAGCTGTGCCATGTGGGTCAGCTCCCTCTCCAGGGATTGAACTCGTGTCACAGTGGCTGGTGATAGCTTGATAGAACTGAGACTTTAACACCTGCCTCACCAGCTGCATTTTCTTTAAATGAAATATTATGAAGCCTAAATATGTAAATTAGATGGAAGGTGGAGGCTGAAGTGTGAATGAAGTCTGCGGCTTAGCTGCTCCTCCTTTCTACCTGCCCGCACCTTCTCCCACCCCCAGGCCCTGTTCAGACCCCACCCTGGGCAGGGCAGTGCCAGGTGTGGACACCCCAGGCTGGCTGATTTCCAAGATCCCATGAGCTTAGTGACTCTTATGAAAGGTCTCATCCACCCCCTCAAAGTATTTCTAGTTGCTTTAAAAGAAACTGAGGGCAGAGACTTTTCCATATTGGTTAACTAACACCAATAGAGACTTAAACTATGTAATATGTGATTATTTGCTAAATGCTAGCTATTTGCTAAATACTGACAAGTAGAAAGAAGAAAAAAATCATACATATCTAAGACGACCACTGTTAATTTATAAAATGTAAATCAGCTGACTAACATCAGCAAAAACCAAGAACCACACTTTCAATGGGGCCCAGTCCCTGGATTCCACAGAGCAACATGCCTGTGCAATGCCACCCAGATCAAGAATACTTTCTGTCTTGATGAATTTCCACCAAGTGTTTTTCCTCTGCATAGTTTCTTGCTTGTTTCTACATAACCATGATTACTCTGTCTACAACTCTGAACCTTTTAGATTTAGTGTTCATTATAAACCTTTTTTTACAGATTATTATAAATTCTTTGTAAACCTCACTTTCCTTAGCTGCAGACTCCTCCATTAGGCAGATATACCAAAGTTCATTAGCCATCCTCCTATTATTGGGTATCTAGTTTGGTTTCTGATTTTATAAACAACACTGTGTTGAACATCTTTGTATGCAAAGTTTTTTCCTTAGCTATGCTATCTTTGGTTATAATCCCAGAAGTGGAATTCCTGGGTCAGAGGGCCTGAATATTTTGAAGGCCAGAGTGTAATGCCTGTGTCTTGAGTACTCTCACTGGGAGGAGTGTGGAAGGAACAGAAGGGAGGAGGGAGAGGATTCTACCAGGACCCAGTAAGGAACCCTACTGTGCACCCTTCCTGTGTGGTGCCTAAGTGGTAAAGCCTTAAATAACATTGTGAAGATTGTTTATTCCATTTGCATAACAGGCTAAGAGCCAGTATGGATTTAGAGCCAACTATCAATTACTTATCATAACAAGGACAGGAATAGCCTGTCGATATAAAAAGAAACCTAAGGAAAATCCCCAATCCTTGTTTTTGACATTGGTTTCCCCTCCTCCCTCCCAACCCTTCCTGGAGTAGCTGTCATTTGGTGGCATTGAGGGAGACCACCTAGCTCCCACCTGGGGGTTTTCAGGCATCAAGGTGGGAAGCAGGAGGAAGGAGAGGAGCTGGGGCCCTGGCGCCCCGGTACAGAGGGCCCCTCAGGAAGGAGACCTGACTGTACCTTTGAAGATCACTATCACCTTCCCATCTGACTTTGGGCTGTCAAGTGACTTTTCTCAGTTACTGAGCCCTGGCTTTGGGCCCGGTTCTCAGCAGTGTGAACGAAGCTGTGATCAGAGAGATGTCTATCTCCTTCCTGTTTAACATTGACTTTCCTGTCAGATGAGTCACTTGTGCCCAAGTGGTACCCATGGTTGAGTCTGTGAGAACTCACCAGCATGGTGGGAGTGGGCCCAGAGGTAGAGAGAGAGAATATTGGAAGCAAGAGGAGAGCTGTTGAGGGAAGAAGCAGCCCTTCCCTGCTGTGAAAGGGAGTTGTGGATTATCTGCTCCTGCCAGACTAAATTTTACTTCTGAGGCCCATTTTGCTTCCCTGCTAAAAGAATTCTGTCTATCTGTCTCTGTCTCTGTCTCTCTCTCTCTGTGTAAAGGATTTTGGGCCTGGTACCAATAGGCAGTCTCTAGAAGAGGACAAATTAAATTCTTGATTCCATAAGGGAGCATTCATGCCCACGAGTCTCTCAGTTTCCCCATTTGTCAACTGCATGGACAATACAGACCTATTCTCTTGGAGTGTTTTTGAAACCCCCAACTCTTCAGAATATTGCATCATTCCTGTGACAGAAAAACAGCTGATGGAATAGTTATCATTTTTTTTTAAAGCTGAAGGTATAGTTATCATTCTTTTAAGCTGAAGCCCGGGCGTGGTAGGCCCCCAGGGCAGCCAGCTGCCAGTACAGCACAGGGGAACTAAACATCTGTGTGGTTTGTCTTTGTGTGTTTGTGTGAAGGTTCAGGAAGACATGGAAGCTGCAGGCGCTGAAGGAAGGCAAGACGAACATGCACCCGCCGTACTCTCTGGGACAGCTGGTCACCGAGAGACCCAAGCCCACCCCAGTGCTGGCTCCCCTCATCTCTCCACCTGTGTCACCCAGCGGCTCTGGGATTGACAGCATGTCGAAGCACGGCCGCCCAGATGAGGGGGGTCTGCGGAGCCCTTATGACATCAGCAACAGAGACTACTTCTTCCCCAAATAGCTCACCGGTGGCCCTGGCAGGCGGGGGTGCAGGCCTGCTGAACTGTGGCCAGTGAAGCACAGACTGGTTTAGTAAAAGATGCTTCTTATTTACTGCCATTCTAGCTCATCTCAGGGGCCTGGAGCCTCCAGCATCATTGTACAGAAAGCTCTGCCCTGGTGAATACGGGTTTGCTGTGTCTGTTCAGAAGGAAGAGGTGCTTGAGTTTTAAAACCAGCCTTCCCCAAATGAGCAGCTTACAGGTGAGGGTGGCCTCGACCCTGTGGAGACAGTCGTGTCAACACCCTGCTGGACACTCGAACGGGTGGAGTCCAGCTGCTGTGCGGGCCTTGGAGAGCCCGGGCTTGGTGGGACAAGCTGCTGGCCACCCACAGACCAGACACAGTTCCACAGACTGTGCCCTTGGGCAGCGGGATGGATTTCCAGCCAAGGATCCCTCAGTTGCCTATCCCCTGGCCCACTGCTCAGTTTTGTTTTCTGGTTGAAACCTAAGTGCCTTAGCATCCAGTTTCTCAAGGCCTGACAGTGGCTTTTCATGAACCTCTGAGGCTGGGGGAAGCTCTCCCCCGTCTTCCCCACACAGCTGAGAGGTGATGGGGAATGGTATCTCAGGGCCTGATGGTTTGAAATGGAATTATAATTAGTTCCTCATTAGCATTAGCTAAATGTGAATGACAGTCCTAGGCACTTGCTGAATCCAGAAGCAGCTGTGCTGGCGGGAATTCTTTCTTTGGATCCCAGGACTTCAGGAGGAGAGAAGCAGCAGAGGCAGGAGAGTGGGGAGGGGGTAGAGGGGCTCTATGGTCCCCTGCAGTAACACAACCGAGGGGGACTGGACCATGGGGGCTAGACTGAGGGGACCGCAGCCTCTGGAAACCAACATTCTCTGTTCTCCCTCCTGCCCCCTAAAAGGAGAAGCCACATTAGAGGGGGACTTCTGCCTTTGGTGAGATCAAACTCTTTTACTCCAGCTTTGTTTATTTTGCTTTCAGCTGAGCCTGAGTAACCAGGGAAGATAATATTTATGTGAAAAGACAAAAGAACCCGGCAAGAATGTATTTTAATTCGGTTTTGAAGAAACTGCTGTTTTTTCTTGAGAGGGTGGAAGATCCAGTATTAGCTGAGTGCCAGTATATAAATAACCCGGGGAAGAGCGCAAATAACTTTGTTTAGCACAAAATTGAGTCAAGTGAAAAAGGAGGAGGAGAAAAAAATATTTTCCCCTTTAGAGAAGAGACTGGTTTCATTCTAAATTTTTTTTTAGTCTTAACAACTGAAAAAGGCGTCAGCCTCCTGGATGATTTAGGGGAAAAGCGGCTTGTCACGCGCCCCGGGAGGCGGTGAAGGAAGCGGGTGTGCTCCCTGGGGTGCTGGGAAGCCTCCCACGGCGAGCAGGCAGGGTCCGCTGGAAACCCCCACCCCTGGAAGCCACGAACCCTCCGTTATCAAAAGCAGGCTCTTTTTCAAAAGTCCCGACCTTGGTGCCTTCCTCTTTCTATTGAGTTCCTCGAATTGGATTCAGGTCGGCCCCTAGCGAAGGGCCTGCTGAGCGTCTAGTGGTCGCGCCGCTGCTCACCACCGCCGCGCGCTTTTCTGTCAGACGTGGGAAAAGAAACTCAGTGATATTACTGGTTACCCAGACAAATACCCTCGAGATCATGCGTCTCCGAATGAAGCTGTGATTAAAATCTGTCGAGTAACCAAGGGGTAAAGATCCGCCAGCCACAAAGCCCGGGGCGCATCCGACGGCCCTTCAGGACAGCCGCAGCGCCCGGGGTATCTGGTCAGGTTCGCACTGTGACTTGGGCGAGGAGTGACTTTCATCGCTGACTTTGTCAATTTCAGACCCTGTTGCTGCTTTAGATAACCCACCCTGTGCTGACAAAAGTCAGGCAGGTGGGTTTGTGTGTGTGTTTTGTTTTGTTTCTCTAAAGTTTCTTTGATGGAGAACAGTGAAAAATGCTGTTCAAGGGAAATATTAAAAATGAGAATGTGCATGAGGAAGGGGGAGCCTGCCCACGGTTCTTCAACCCTTCCCAAGCTTTACCCACATGTGCTATCACCAAAGCCAGGCAGGGCCTGCTGGTGGGAGATGTGAGGTGCAGATAGCTCATTATTGCTGAGAACCAGGCAGCTTTGATCTTCAAATTGTTGTTGCTTTCATTATTATTGTAACGAAACTGCTTTGTCTTTTTTATACATCGAGGAGGGTTTTTTCCCCTTGGTTTTTTTTATAAGCTTGTGTAAATGTAGGAAGAGGAGCTGTCTCCTCTGGGTGGAAGGGCTTGCCCAGTGCACACAGGGCTCCACCCTCCACCCTTCTCTGTCCCCGAACCTACGGTCAGCAGATGATCCCAGCTCATTTTCCCTGTTTCTGCAGCACCCGCTGCCCAGTTATCTTCAGCAGTGATGTTACTCACCAAACAGCTGTTGCACAGCCAGCTGTAAAATGTTGGGACAGTGATAATTTATATTAAACACGACAACTTATCCTGCTGGGAGGGAAAAGTTGAAAATATGCTGGTTCATGGTTTACATGAAAATCATCATTAATTTTTGTAGCATTAATGAAACCTTTTTATAAAATGTCCAGAGGGGAGCACTGAATGTGTCTACAGAGATGTGGGTAACTCTGAGAGCTCTTTCCTCTGGTGGGGACTTGCCTTTGCCAGGTTTCTTTACAAATGTGCTTTCTTTGTGGGACTCTGGACTCACACTGGGTCCCCCACAGTTTCCCTGCTGTCCCAGGGGAAGGAACACCATTATAAGCTGTGGACTTTGTTGCTGAAACAGGGTAAGGAAACTACCTGGTGGTGAGCAGAGTCTGGTGGTGCAGGCTGGCAGTGTTCGTGCTTGGAGGGTCCTGCAGAATGTTCAGCAATGTTTTGCCAGGACACTTTGATGCTGAGTAGTATCACCTCTTTGGAGGCACTGAAGGTTGACCTAGTTGGGGAGGAGTCTGGCACCGAGCACTATCTGGAATTGATGGGAAATTTATCTTCATTTGGAGAAGATGGGGCAACCGATGGTCCTTGGAGCTTGAACCCCGAACCCGGCTTTCCCACATAACAGCCGGCAGTTGGGCTGTGACAGGAAGGACAGGGCCAGCTGGCTCAAGTTCTATGCCAAATGCGTTTGAACGTCCCCTGAAGGTCCTTCCAGCATCTTGTCCTAGGGGTGGCCTGGTGCCAGCGCTGGTGAGTTCCTATGGCAACCTTAATGATTATTAAGGAATGTTGTCAGTTTTAGGAACATATGCTCAAGCCAAGATCTACTTTAGAAGGGAGGATTGGAACAGCGTGTAGCAAGACTGTTAATTAATAGAGAAACCATATTTGGATGGAGATCACACATCTGTTAAATAGAATACCTCAACTTTACATTTTTTTAGAGAAATAATAGTTTTAAGTTTTGTTATTATTTTTTTACCTAATTACCTTAAAGCAAATGCTAAAGGCTGATGTCTGTATGTGGGGCAAAGGGTCAGTATGTTTTTCAATGTTTTGTTTTTTTTTTCTTTTTACCAGCTATTTTTTGCATTTAAACTGAAATTTGTAAATGTTTGAAATAAATAATTTCTAAAAATATGTTTGAGATGTAATCATACTTTGGGCATCTGGGTTATTTAAAGGAAGACTTGTGACTAATGAGGGGAAAGGAGTGACGAAAGATGGGTTTTTAAAAAGATGGATTTAGGGGCCTCCCTGGTGGTGCAAGGGGTTAAGACACAAACTATGAAGCTATCTGCAGCCACTGCAGCACGAGTTCAATTCCTGGCCAGGAGCTACCCACATGGCGCAGCAGACCTCTCCTGTCTCGCCCGCTGCTCCCCTCAGCAGTGTATTTCAGTCAGTCTGCCTGTTCTGTTCCCCACTCTGTCTCTGGTGAATCCTCTTGCCCCCCTGCAACTCTGGCCTGTACCCCAGTTCTTGTATGCAGAAATAAATAAATCTTTTTAAAAAATAAGATGGGTTTAAAATTTAATTTTGGGATGAAATTTCCCTTAATGTAGGGTTAAATGACCTCTGGGGAAGAAAATTGGAGAAATTCAAGAAATAAGAAGCAATTTCTCAAGACTTTAGTTTTGAAAGTACTTCCCAAAATGAGTCCTGGGGTTCCCAGAAGGGGCATGGCTGCTGCCACGCATCATTACCAGGTGATGCGCCCATGGGGAAGGAAGAGGGAGGGAGGGCTCAGCAGGAGACTGTTTATCGGACAGGGGACTGCTAACAGTGTCACAAAGGGGACCCTGCACCCTTGACTGTCAAGCCAAACCTGTCCCCTAGTGTGAAGGGTCTTAGGTAGCAAACACTTGGGACACAGCCATCTCACGTCTTCCGAACAGGGGGATGCCGTGGTAGGGATGCTTTGGAGATAAGGGCTGCTGTGTAAACAGTTCAGGGCTGGGAGAAGGAAACCGCAGGGAAGCCTGGATTGTGCAACACAGAGTGAGAGTTGAAGTGTGAACACCCCACATCTAGACAATCAAAGGAAAGCCCCAGGTCCCACCTATGGGAACCACATCTCCTTTGAGACGCAGGGATCTCTTGAGATTGGGCCCTGTCTTACTGAAAGAGACACGGGAAACAGATGTCCCGCGGTGGCTCAGCTGTGTGGGCCGGGCGGAGGGGCTCAGGAGTGGGCCTGGAAATGGGAAGAGGAACTGGTGCCGCCCTCTTCTCCACAGCATCACTGTTAGGATGGCATGGTTACCATGCTCTCTCTGGAAGAGTTTGGGAGAGCAGATGGTGATTCATGTAGAGGAAGGCAAGGAACATTCAGTTACTGGAACAGCCACTTAAGAAAGCGTTTTCCCTATTTATTGAGGCATGAGGAGACCAAAGCTTTCTCCATTTCCCACTGTGTTTGCATCCTGCGCTAGCACAGGCAATTGGCTGAAGGACATTAACCGCCAGCAGCATGCTGCCCGCTGCCCGCAGGGGCTGGCTGGGGCTGGGACTGCCCCTCAGGCGAGGTGGCCCGGTAGGCTGCTGCGCCACTTGTCGCTTAAAGGAGCCTCATCAATGACAGGGACTTGGCACCATCCTTCCAATGCAGACCAAACCTAGCCTGTCCTCTGCAGATGTATGTCACTTAGAAAACAATACAAAACACCCCAGCCATGTTCTGTATCATACCGACAACTTTAAGGGACAATCCAAGATAGGAATAAAATGAAGCACATCAGTAAAATCATGAAACTCTCATATACTGGATGCCATGTGCCCTTAAGGATGTTTCTTCTAAGATAACTTTAAATCACTTTGGTAAAGCTGCCCAATGTCCACAAAGAAAAATAGCCTGCTGCCTACTGGGACACTGCATTTTAATAGTTCATTATGAGTTTTTAAAGAATGAAATTTACTGGGAGGACAGTTGTGTTCTACCTTGGTTCTGAAATGTGAGTGCTATGCAATGAAGGTTTGAAAAGGATGAGCGGAGTTAGTGGGACATCCTGGAGTCTGCCTGGCAACAGAAGGGGTGGAGGCACCAAACATACGCCTGCCCTTGGTGAACCGCACCACACGAGGGGATCCCCATAGTCAGTGAGGATTCAGTTCCATCTGACGTGGACCCCAGAAAGTAGAATAAACTCCCCAGGTGGCTCTGGGGAAGGTGGTGCTGATCCTGGGGGTGCCATGGGCTGTGATGGCAACTGTGTGCCAGGGGCACATTTCAGTGAATCAGTCTGGGGGTCAGGAGAAGCCAAGGCTCCCACCCCAGAGCCTCGGAGGCACAGCAGCAGGGGGTCTGTCTGAGTGTAGGTCA